GGAGGCAAAGGCAGAAGTCTCAGGAGTGGGCAGAGTGGACAAGGCCTAACTCCCCTCCCTTGCTGTCCCTCCACTAACCCTCTTCAGGCGTCTTCCCTCGAAGGCTTCCAGAATACCCAGCTCAGGACCATGAGTACCCTCTGTCCCTCCCCAGCTCTCTCTGGGCCGCTTAATTGGTGAGGGGGCACTGGAGCAGAGTGAGTACAGCCTGGGTCTGGAGGCAAGACACCTTGCTGAGTGACCCTGCCCCAGGTAACACTTCTCTGGGCCGCCTTCACCTTATTTGAATAGAAGGAGGTTGAGATCAGGGCTTCTTAACCTGAGGCTCAGTGACAGCGAAGGGCTTTGGCATGTTTAACAGCCTGCCTTTGTCGGAGACATTTTGTGGTTGTGTGCACATGCTTTTTTTCTGATGAGAGGAACCCTAGCTCTCACCAGGTTCTCAAAGGGGCCTACGAAAGGGTGGAAGCCATAGGTAGAGTGCCCTCTGGTGGCCAGTCAGCCTGCGGTGATTGGCTGGGTGCTGTGGCAGCAGGCAAGTTCTGCGAAGGAGGGTAGGCAGGTGCCAGCTCCCATGGGGAGTAGAACATGGGGACTGGCCACAGAGCCCCGAGGTTGGAATCCCAGGCATGGGCCAACCAGCCAGGATGCTGCTCCCCACCCCACCCCACCCCATGGGGGGCCCTCACCTTCCACAGTGCCAGGACCAGCAGGGCCAGCAGCAGGAGGCCCCCCAGTGTGCTGCCCACAATGATCCAGATGGGGATCTGCCAGTCTTCTTGCTTGGAGATCTCAAATGTGATCTGCAAGGGGAGGAGGGACACCAGGGGAATAGATTAGTGTCCTGGGCCTGGGCTGGAGCCCAGGAGACCGCTGGCCCCTGGCGGGAGAGCTGTATCCCTGTCCTTAGGGAAGGCTGCTGGGCGGGGATGACGGGTGGCATCCAGCCTGCAGAGGCCTCAGAGCCCCCAGCCCCTGCACAGTGGACACCTGAGTTAAGTGGCCCAGGTGATCCTACCTCCTCTTGGAGACATTTTCTGCGTCTTGTCTTTGCTGCTTCCTCAATCATCTCCCAAACTTCTAAATGTTGGCATGTCCCCTGGTTCTGCCCTTGGACATCTTCTTTATCTACAGTCACTCCCTGGTGAGCTCAGGGCTGACTTACATAGTGGGTACAGTGGGCGTGGTGCCCAGAGACCCACAAACATGATCTTACTTATTTTTTTAAAAAATGTTTTTGTTGATTTTAGAGAGAGGGAGAGAAACATAGAAAGATTGATGAAAGAGAAACATCATTGGCTGCCTCCTGCACGTCCACTACTAGGGATCCAGCCTGCAACCTGGCCATGTGCCCTGACCAGGAATTCAACCAGTGACCTCTTGGTTCATGGGTTGATGCTCAACCACTGAACAACACTGGCCAGGCCTAACTTCTTTTAAAATTAGAGGATATCAATGAATATAATCTAGCCTGGATTATATTTGTCTTTATATGTACACAGTCATAAAATGGTAATTCATTTTTTTTTTATGGAGGAAGAAGCCCCAAAGGCAAGTGTCCAGGGCCAGGGAAGTCCTAATGCAGCCCTGGGCGAAGTCAGGCAGGGCTTTGACCATCTCTACTCTGACCACTCTCGTTTCTACGTCTACCGGACTCTCTAGATTCATATCCGACTATCTGCATGGCCTGCCTGGCACCTTTAACAAGTCCCTAAGCAAACTCTTGATCTCACTCCTCACCCTCAATCCTGTTCTTTCAATGTATTTCCTATCAAAGCAGATGACAGCAGCATCGTCCTTTCTTGCTGTTGCTCAGGCCAGAAACCTTGTATTTGTCTCACATCACATGAACTCCATCAGCAAAGTCTGACTGTTTTACCTTTGAAACACCCTCTCACTTGCAGGGCCACCTCCTTGGTCTGAGCACCCTCATCTCCCTGCTTCTGCCTTGCCTCCTACAGTCTGTTCTTTTTGTTTTTTGTTAATCCTCACCGAGGATATTTTTCCATGGATTTTTAGAGAGTGGAAGGAAAGGAGAAAAACACAGAGAGAGAGAGAAACATCCATGTGAGAGAGACAACAACCTAGGTATGTGCCCTTGACTGGAATCGAACACAGGACCCTTCAGTCGCAGGCTGATGCTCTATCCACTCAGCCAAACGTGGTAGGGCCTACAGTCCGTTCTTGGCATAGCATCCAGAGAAAGGCAGTTCTCTGCTCTGCTCTGCTCAGAGCCTCCAAGTCTCGTTCCCATCTCACTCAGAGTAGAAAAGTAGGGTCCCTGCCCTGGCCTGCAAGGGCCTACACTCTCTGGCCCTGCTACCTCCCGGACCTCTTCTCCCACTCCAGCCACCTGGCCTCCAACATGCAAGCACACCTGCTGTTGGGCCTTTGCATTGCTGTTCCTTCTGCTGGCATGGCTCCGAGTCCCTGTCGGATGTCACTTTACTGGAGAGGCTTTCCCTAATCTCCCCATATAAAATAGTGTCCCCTGAATCTCCACGCTTGCGTGTTGTTGTTTTTATTCAGACTTCATCATCACTTGATGCTGTATATACAGGGGTGGGCAAAGCAGGTTTATAGTTCATATGGAAAAATATATAATAATGAATAATATAAGAATAAACTTTGGCATACTGACAACTGTAAACCTACGTTTGCCCCCCTGTATTTATGTTAATTGCCTTTCTTCCCACGGAAGGTCAGCTCCAGGAGAGCAGGTTTTCCCTGATTTGTTCACTGCTCTATCCTCCGAGCAGGGCCTGGGCCTGGGACAGAGCCAGGGGCTCAGTGAACATGTTCAGTGACTGACCGATGGCACAGCACGGTGGGGTCCTGGCTTGGCCACTGAGTCACTATTTAACCTGAGGCAAGTCACTGCTTCCCTGCTGCCTTATCTCACACAGCCTCAGCTTCTACACCTGAAAAGTGAGGGTGTGGGGACATACATCAAAGATAACATGTGAAGAAATTATTACAATACCTGGCTCATAGTTAGGGCTCAACAAACCATAGGTCCCTTATACGTTCTTTCCATTCCCTGCAGGCTGGACCTTGCTCTGCCTTCCCACCCCCGGTCACGTAGCTGTGACCTGAGAATGTAAGCCAACATGGGCTTCATTATTGCTGGATTTCAGAAAGAGAAGTGAGGCATCCAGAAAGCATAAGAAGGATTTGGAGTGGGGGCTGGGAATGGAAGGAGGAGGAGAATTCATTTGAGAGACATGAACTAGTGTGGAGAGAGGGGCAGTTTGTGAGTGTGTGTGTGTGTGTGTGTGTGTGTGCGCGCGCGCACACGGGTGCCCCTCTTCTCTCTTGGTCACCTGGAAAATTCTAACATCGCAAGATTCAGTTCAAGTGTGCTGTCTCCAGAAAGCTTTCCCTGGTCTGGCCACCTCCCACTCCAGCACCTGTGCTCACCCCCAGATCGAGTCCACGCTTTGCTTCCTTGTTCCTTTGCATCCCTTAGTAGGTCTGAGTCATAGAGGGGACACCCAACCAACGCTGAATGAATGAACAAATGAAACCGCTCCTGGGGTGGGGCCCCTGAGTGCTGCCTCTGGGCTGCTGCACCTGCTAGCCCTTCGCCTGGCACACCCACCCTGTTTGTGATGGGTATCTGTGTGTTTTCTTAAGGGCTGGCTTCTAGCCCATGTCCGCTTTGCTCTCCAGCGTCTGCAGGGGAGGGACTCCGGGGGTTTTACCCAGCATCTGGTATTGAACGCTCACCTGGAGCCCAGGCTGGCAGTTTGGGGACATGGCCAGTGGAGGGCAGCAGTGCCCCATGCCTGAGATGCCTCTATCCAGACGACTAAACTTTTCAAGACACAACTTCTCATTTTCCCAGCTGAGCACTGCACAGAGCCCCATCCCTTTCCCAAACTTTGATTCAAGCTAATTTGATCTGCTTTTATCCAATACAAGTGTCAATGCCAAGACATCTCATCCATTGGCCTTCCCCAGTTCAGTTCATGCCAGACTTCTAAAGCACAGGTCACACGGTTTCATTAGCTAAGAGGTGCGAATGGATGGGGGTGACATAGGTGTGGGATGGTCATTCTAGGCTGCCAGCCTGCCCAAGGCAGCCTCCCTCTGCTGGGCCACAAGCCCGCCAGCAGGCTGCCATGGACTCCAGTTTCAGGTTCCTGTAGTGTCAAATACATAGGTTCCCTCCCTCCTCCACCCCATGGGCTGTTGTGCAGAGCCTGGGGCGCCCGTGGCCTGGGCAAATGCTTCTGGCCCCCTGTCCTCTTTTGCCCCCGAAGACCTATTTGTCTTGCTTTTCTCTCTCCTCTGATGCTACACTAACGGCTGGCATGTCTGTCCATCTCTTGTTCGCAGAACACACGGTAGAGGTGTAGGAAAACTAGGGGAAGGGGTAACCCTTACCAAGCTGGCCTGGCTCAAGCCCAGGTCTGCAGGGTTCCCAGGGGCTCACCTGGCGGCTGGGATCCTCCTCTCGGAAGATGAAAGGACTGTGGAACTGCCTCTGCACGGCTGCGTGGACCGTGATTTTCATCAGCTTGTACTTGAGCTGTGTAATCGGAGGCCTTGTCAGAAGCTGGCCCCTCCCCGTGCGAGACTCCCAGCACCCACCTTCTTCCCTCCTCCCCGCTAGCCTAGCCCATGTGCTCTACTTACTGCCTTCAGGGACCGCAACCACAGGTTCCCCAGCAGATGGAAATTGATTTCCTGGTTGGGGGCCAGCCGCACATGGCAGTTGATGGAGACTACATCAGAGTTGCTGTGATTCTGAAAGAGAGGTGGGTCTCGGGGGTGAGCAACCAGGCTCTGGGGGAGGGGTGGCAGAAACCTAGCTGTGACCTGGGAATGTGAGCAGAGGCTGGGCCGCCAGAGAGATGGCTCAGCTGCACTGCTGGACCAAGTGGGGCTTTGTTCTTTGGGGAGAGGGGCAGAGGACGGGATGAGGCGGCGGTAGGGGACCGTGGTCTGGGGCTGCCAGGGGGTGGCTGGAGGACGAGGTAAGGATGGCATATCTGATGCTGCATTTGAAGTTGTACATATTGGGTATATTCCAGGAACAAAATTTTGGTTCAGTGTTGGGGAACCTATAAATGTCATCGCCATATAAACAGATTAAAGGGGAAAAGTGGATGATTACTGTAACAGATGCAAAAAATAAACATTTTAGGAAATTCAACTTCAGTTTTTGATAAAAGCTCCTGGGGAACTTCCTGAATCTGAATAAAGGGTATTTATAAAACCCAGCAAGTATCGTATTTATTAATGAAAAATTAAAAACAATTCCTTTAAAATTAGGATCAAGACAAAACTGTCATCATTTCTGGTTTTCATTACCCCGGAGGTCCTAGCCAGAGCAATAACACAAGAAAAACAATTTACAAGGCTTGAATGCTAAAGCTAAAGCTATTATCATCAGCAGATGGTATCATCCTAATAGAAAACCCAAACAAATAATCAAATAGTTAGAAAGTATTAGGTTGCAGTTATTTGTATCATTCTTTTGCATCCACGTCAAGCCTACCCAACCCCAAGTCTTCAGTAAAATGCACTACATTCAAAAAATGCTTTGTGTGAAGCACTTGTTGGGGGAAATCAGATGAAAACAGCTAAGGTTTTTGTCTGGGTAAGGAATAATGGAAGCATGCACAGAAACAGGTATCTGGGGACAGAGGCAGCTGCGAGGATATAAACCTGGAAACCAGCAGGTGTCTTAGGGAGGGCTTTGGGAGTTGAAGCTGAGCTGCCTTTCATTTCTGGGGCAGGGAGGCCCCAGTTGATGTCAATGTCTCCAATACAAGTCATGTATGTTCTGCCCCGATAGCAATGCTCCTCTGGCTTCCTCCCCTTCCCTCTGCTTATCTGTATCCAAAGGCTCTTTTAGGCTCAAGTGCAAGTCCACTAGCTCTGTTCTTTCTTTTTTTAAAAAATAGTTTATTGATTTTTTTCAGAGAGGAAGGGAGAGGGACAGACAGTTAGAAACATCGATGAGAGAGAAACATCGATCAGCTGCCTCCTGCACACCCCACTGGGGATGTGCCCGCAACCCAGGTACGTGCCCTTGACCGGAATCGAACCTGGGACCCTTGAGTCCGCAGGCCGACGCTCTATCCACTGAGCCAAACCGGTCAGGGCAGCTCTGTTCTTTTTTAAAATGATTATTACCTTTTGATCCCCTTCATCCATTTTCCCACTCTCACCCCCTGCTTCTGACTACCACCAATCTGTATTCTGTATCTATAAGCTTGATTTTTTAAAGAAAGATTCCACGTATACAGTATTTGTCTTTGTCTAACTTATTTCACTTGGCATAATGCCCTCAAGGTCCAAATACATTGTCCCAAATGGCAAGATTTTTTTTCTTATGCTGAGTAACATTCTATTGCATATATCTATCATCTCTATCTCTATCTCTGTCTCTG